AAAAAGTAAGAAATTTAATGAAAGTGGCTATATATGTAAGAATCAATCCATCCATCCGTTCACTCATTGAGCAAATGTTTAATGATCTCCTGTTATGTGTCTGCCCTGGTGGCGCAGTGGTTAAGAGCTCAGCTGCAAACCAAAAGGTCAGCAGTTCAAATCCACCAGCTGCTCCCTGGAAACACTATGGGGCAGTTCTACTCTGTCCTATAGGGTCGCTATGAGTTGGAATCGACTCACTGGCAGTGGGTTTCAGTTTAGTTGTGGTTATTATGTGCCAGACCCTCTGCTAGCTAGGCAGTGAAACCACCTGTCAGGCAATCACTGAAAAATCGAGGCAAAAAGGGAGTGAGTTTGTACTACATGTGCATTTTAAATTGTTCAAAAGATTATACCAGTGAGTCAAACAACCCTGTAAAAAAATGGTAAATTCTCCAAAGATTAGACAGGCGTATAGGGTCACTATGGATTGGAATCGACTCAACGGCAACGGGTTTGGTTTTTTGGTTTATAGGACAAATGGAGCCCTGGTGGTGCAGTGGTTAAGAGCTTAGTTGCTAGCTAACCTAAAAGATTGGCAGTTCAAATCCACCAGCTGCTCCTTGGAAACCCTATGGGGCTATGAGTAGGAATAGGGTTTGGTTTTTTTATAGGACAAATGGTGACACATGAGGAACATGCTTCTTGGTTCAGTGAAGTTTGTGAGACCCAGTGGGCAGAGACAAGAAAGCAGGAAGGGACAGGAAACTGGACCAGTGGGCACGGGGACCCAGGATGGAAGAGGGGAGAGTGCTGACACATTGCAGGGATCGCAGCCAGTGTCACAAAACAATTTGTGTACAAATTTTTGAACAAGAAACTAATTTGGGCTGTAAACTTTCACCTAAAGCACAATAAAAAAATTTTTTAAATGGCCAATTTTTATTTATCTATATGTTAGCATATGCTCAGGAAAAATTCTGGAACGTGTACATTATCATAATACCCAAACTGTTAATAGGAGCCATTCCTGGGGAATTTCCACTTTCTACGTTGTACATGTTTGTGATATTCTAATTTATCATAACAAACTCTACTTTCATAACAGAGAAAACCCAATAAAGTTAAAAGCAATTTTAATGGGAAGAAAAGTCTGGAACACCAAGTGCAGAAGCAGATGTGGGAGTGGGAAGTCTCACACGTGTTGGCTGGGAGGATAAATTGGCATATTTTGGCAGGTAGCTGACCACATCTAGTAAAGGTGCAAAGGCACATGCCCTTTGACATGACAATTCCACAGCTAGGAGTGTGCCCCAGAGGAATTCACACACGGGGCACACGTGCACAAGAGGACGATCGCTGCATTGTTTGCAACGGTGAAAAAATCGGAAACCAACTTGTAGCCCAGGAGGGCAGGGAATAAATAAATTGGGTCATATTCACACAAAGGAAAACTCTACCACAGTTAAAAATGAGTCAATCTTACATGTATCCACATGGATAAATCTTGAAATAATGTTGAAAGAAAATAGCAAGTGGTGTTACATAAGGCTTGATTTCATTTATGTAAATGTTTTAACCATCCAAAGCCACATTATCTATTGCATATGAATCCAAAGATAAGTGGTAACTGTCTAAGAACAATGGTGGAAACCATATACACCGACCCGAGGTGGTAGTTTCTTCTGAGGAGGAAGGACCACGAGATTAGGGGGGGTACAAGGGAGCTTTCAGCTGTGTCTCTAATACGGCATTCCTTACCGAAAAAGTGAAACACATTTGGCAAACGTGGGTGGTGGGGACACGGGTAGTCATTGTATTATTCTCTGCACGGTTTAATTTTTGCCAATTTGATGTGTGTAGAACTATCTCGTTTTAGTTTGCATTTCCCCGATGACTTGTGAATCGAGTCATTTTCCCATGTTTATTGCATATTGCTAGTTCCCATCTTTGCCCGTTTTTCATAATAGTAAAAAGGTCGGCAGTTCAAATCCACCAGCCGCACCTTGGAAACCGTATGGGAGAGTTCTGCTCTGTCCTACAGGATTGCTGTGAGTCTGAATGGACTCGATGGCCCATAACCACAATGACGTTGACAACAGAAGGTGAGATGGTGAGGTGAGTGTTGCGAGATACCCAGGGGGAGGCACCTCACAGGCAGGTGGGTGTTCAGTCTGAAGCCACTGGAGCCTGGCTAGACCGGAGGCGTGCCTTGGAGGGAGCGAGGCCCAGAGGAGGCATTGAAGCCCTTGGAGCGGTGAGCTTGCCCAGGGAGAGGGTGCTGAGGGACAGTGGTGGCCTGGTGGGCACGTGTGACTCCTCCACCTTAGGGGGAGGAGCTGGAGCAGAGAAGGGGCATGAAGGAAGGAGACACAGAAGTGACAGGAGAGCAAAGAGTTTCTAGAAGGAAGAAGGGGTCCCCAGTGACAAGTGTGGCAGAGGTGCCCCCTGAGATGAAGGCCAAGCAGTGCCATCAGATTTTCCACGTGCAGGTTTAGGTGACCTTGGCAAGGACAGTGTGTCGTTTGTGAGGACAGAAGTCCCAGTAGGAAGGGCTGACGGGAGAGTGGGAAGTAAGGAGACAGCGAATGCAGGTGGCACTTTCAAGGAGGGCACCCAGGCAGGGGAGGAAAGACGGAGCTGAACGCTGGGAGAGGACTCTGAAAGCTAAGGCCAGGTCAGACCAAGCTGCCGAGAATCCCCGATGCCCCACTGCTCTAGAGACCAGCCCCACCCTCAGCACAGCCAGTCGGGGAGAGGGCATGACCTCAATTCTAAACTCTTCACTGGGTGACCTAAATAGTAGCCATTGCAGTGACAGCAATAATAGCAATAACCGAACCCACTGCCGTCGAGTCGATTCTGACTCACAGCAACCCTATAGGACAGACTAGAACTCCCCCTCGGGTTTCTGAGGGGCGGATGGTGGATTTGCATTGCTGACCTTTTCGTTAGCGGCCGAGCACTTAACCACTGTGCCACCAGGGCTCCCATAGCAATAGCAGCCGTGAGCTATTGCATCTTTCTAATGTGCCAGGCACTGTGCTCAGCATCCGATATGTATTATCTCATTTAACCACTGCCCCAATTCTGTGGGGTAGATACTATTATCAGCATACCCATCTCACAGCTGAGAAGCGCGAGGCTTGGAGAAGCTAAGCACCGTGCCCCGGATCACACTGGAAAGTGGCAGAGCCAGATGCGACCCAGGTGCCTGCCTCCAGAGCCCAAGGACAAAATGGCATCAGTGTGGCCAATGGCAGGGAAGCCTCCTGCAGGAGAGGGGTCTGAGCAGGTGTGGATGGGTAGACAGGGCCGGAACAGAAGTGAGGGACAGAAATGACCAGTGGCCTAAGGAGGGATTCAGGCAGTTGCTCGGGCATGGCCAGCCGATTAGAAATGATTGATGTAGCTTAACTGATGCCCCTTGCCTCCCTTCTTGTCCCCCATGCACTGCACAGTCATCACTTCACATGGCCCGAAAAGGCAGAACCCCAAGTGTTTGCTCAGCCTCTGCCTCCCATCACGGCTCTGCGCACGCCACTCTCCTCCTCACAAACACCAGCTTCCTGCCCCCAGGGAAACCGAGCCCATCTTCAGGCTGACGCGCAGAAGCCCCTTGTGATGTGGTCTGCCACCTCTTCTGCCTCATCTTCCTCCTTCTTCAGCCCCACCCATGAGCACTGACTGCTGGGAGGATTCACAGCCTTGCCTCTTGAGCAGCACTGCTCCTTCTCTGTGTTCCAAGAGGCCACCTTCTCACACCCCTGACCTCACACCCCTGGGTGGCGCTAATGGTTTGTGCTCTACTGCTGTCCTAAAGGTTGGTGGTTCAAACTCACCCAGCAGCGCCACGGAAGAAAGGCCTGGCAATCTCCTTCCACAAAGATTTCAGCCAAGAAAACACAGGGGGTCACCATGAGTCAGAACTCACTCGATGGTAACAGGCTGGTTTTCTCGGTTTGGACCTCATGGTGTTCCAGTTGTTTGCCTGACTCCTAGGCTGACCTGAGCAGCTCAGTCACACCTACGAACCGTGTCTCCAGCACCTGGAGGTGCCTGATTCGGAGGGTGTGATTCTCACACATCATTCCAGGGGGAGCCAGTATTAGTCCTGAACCCCAGTGCAGTCAGGGGCAGCCCGATCTCCGCAATTGGCAATGATCAGGAATATGATTTTAGAGGGGAGTGTTTATTCAGTAAAGGACAGCATTGCCCTCCTGCCTGAGGCTCCCGGGAAGCAGCACCTGATCAGCCTGTGAACTGAGCACATTAGAGTCTTCTAGAGTTAAATTTGGAAATGGAGAGCGGTAGGAAAATCTATGCTCATTGAATACAAAATGAAATTGCTGGTGAAGGAACTGAAGTATCTGCAGCAAATTATATTTAAGACTCTATTGTCACAGGCAGATTAGCTAATGCCTGATTTTAAGTATAGGCTTCTAATGCTATTACTCCTGGTTAACTCTGCCTGGCAGGTAACCTTGTGGAACAAATGTCTGCATTGCTTGAATAACATATTTGATCAAACAGGACAATTCTTTGAAAAATTGAGTTCTCTGTGGCAATTTGAGACCTGTAATCAGCAAATTAGATGATTACAGCAGGGATAAAAATAGTCTTCTAACAATGTCCAAGGTATAAATGTGATTTGAATTTCAAAATGTTGAACATGCGGTAGGAAAATGCATGGTTGGGTAGATATGACTAGACATTATCAGATCTGATTTCTCTTTCCATTCCTGCTCTTAGCTAAAGCCTGATTTTGCCCAAAGAAGCTCCAGTTCCGTTTGTGTCTGAGTTAGAGGACGGAAGTACATCACCCACTACGCTCCAAGTTTCCAAGGGTCCATGGCCCTTGACTTCCCTCAGAAACTGTGTGAATCTAAGCTCACCCCCCATTTATTTACCCACTTGGTACGGAATGGCCTCCATGAAATAAGCTGTCAGAGCTCCTCACAGGGAGACAGCGTGGGGAAACCTTCGATCTCCATCAACTAAGGACAAGCATTTTCTTAGGCACAGGGGCAGAGAACTAGCAACTCTGGGGAGGTCTAGTGAGTGGGTCCTGTGGGCTGGGGCATGACAATGCGGTGTGTTCTACCACCATCCAGTAGCCCGTGGTTGGTGGAACTGTTTCTCAGTCTCTAAAACAAGCAGGTTAGACTAGGGGCTCCATGTCACCTCCCTTCTCTGGTTCTCCCTCAGGCATCTCTGCCTCAGAGCAGCTGTTGGCCCACGTTGACCTCGAGCCGCCATGGTCACTCCTGAGGTCTGCTGTGGTATCTCGGCCTCAGCTAGTTTTAGATGAATTGCAGAACAAAAACGGCTCGGCAAGTGGGTATATACAGCCGACCAGCGAGGGGCCAAAATAGCATGTGTCGATTACTAGCAAACAGAGAACATCCTCTAAGAGGTAAAATCTGGTTTTTACTTACTAGCGGCTTTTAGGGTTTTTAAGAGTCGTAGGAAATATTGATTGCTATGGATTTCATTTATCCATCCTCGAGTTACCCTTTATTAGCACAGATGACTAAGCTGCCTGCGGCAACGCTACCATTTTTAAAATTCTGATTTCCAGAAATGCAGCACTCCAACAATTAAAAGGTAAGGCACCCTTTTCAGCATATCTGGTAAGATTCTTTGCAATATGGCGGTCGGCCAAGCTACACGAGCACTTAGCTCAAACATGCTTTCAAGCGGGTGTCACCTCACGTTTGTTAAGCTCTCAAACTTACACTAAAACTTTGAAAACAGAAGTGCTTTTGGTACCCTATTTTTGCATAAAAAATAACAAATGTAAATTCACCATCTTTAGGATTTTGCCAACAAGTCACTTAAAAACGATCACCATTAAAAAAAAAAAATCACGGCTTTTTAAGGCAACAGCATCTCTGGCTGAGATGAAGCGGTAATTAGCTAGTTGTGTCTTGTGACTAAGTACCATTACGCGTAGATTTATGATGCATTTATTAGGAAAAATGTATTAAAACCTGCCAGAACTTTAACATCACAATGTCAAAAAAAGGAGGGTCTCTCCCACTGCGTATGAACATAGTACAGATTTAAAATGACTGTTTTTCTTATAAAGACAAATTTTTGTAAGATGAGATGATGTGCTCATCTACCCCTCCTGCTGGCATCGCACACACACCAAGGCGTCGTGGCAAGGTGAAGCATGGGACTCGACAAGACCCCGCCTTGAGATGTTACCACAATCTGACCGGGGCCTAACACGCTAGGCCTCAGCGCAGACAGAGCCTCTTCAGAGAGCAGGGCCTTTGGTGATCCCATCAGTCAGGACAGACTGTATACGTCACGGCCTTGAACTACGTAGCATTTTACTTTGTGTTTTCTTCTTAAAAGCATAGTTTTAGGCTACTAAACGAGTTCTCCAAACAAAAATTCATTTCTTCCTCAGGCAAAGATTTGGTTAAGGGCAAAAAGAGTATTAAATAAAACTACAGATTCATTATGACCTTTAACGAGCCCTAGGAAAGAATTTAAACCTAAGAATCCTCTAAGACGGCTTCACCATGACAGCCTCAGCCAGCCAAAGAACATGAGCTGAGCAGCCAGCTGTGCCGGGCATTGTGGGAAAAGTGCTAAGTGGAAGTCTCCTTCCCAGCTCAGGGGCCCTCAGGAGGCAGACAAGCTTGCCCGTGAAGCTCATCTCAAAGGTTTCCTTTTAAATGCACTTGCTTGAAAGACTTGAGCCTCAAGAAGCATTAAGTCAACAAGGAGAGCTTGATACAGCCATGGTGAAAGGTGATTTCTAACAACTTAAATGATCAGACATAGCTCATAAAACCAGCTGTCTCAAAGACAATATTACCTTTATTAAAAAACGGATAGACATAGCAGCGCTTACAAAATAATAGTTCATAAAAGGCATTGTACATTGTTAACTGATAGTGTGAAGAGCAGGCCGCCAGCACAGCTGGCGCAGGCTCTGACTCGCGATACTCACGGCCGCCTGTTCACTCGACAGGACGCAGCCCGGGACGCAGCCGGGGACGCCCAAGGGGAGGCCAGCAGTAAGGGCGGCAGGCACTCTTCAACTTCGAGCCTTTGTTACACATGTCAATCAACAGTCCATCGAGTCAAGTATCACCCTCCTTAGCAGCATCTGGAGCACTCACTGGTGTTCGGGAGGTGGCTGGTGTACTTGACTCATTTATTTAAAAAAATCTAAGCATTTAATAAAATACACTTCTCCCTGTCCAATGCCATTTACAGGAACACTTGTGTTAAATATCTGGAAAGCTGACGCACGCCCCCGCTGCTGCGGTCGGGAGACCCCTGGGCGGCGCGTGAGCACGGCTGTCTTTGGTGGAGCGCGCTGGCGAGAGTCACGCTCTTTCCTGCTCGCTGCCCTGCTTCTTCCCACTCTGGGGGGGCGTGAGGACCCCGGTGGGGAGAGGAGAGACTCTGTTCTGTTCAGACATTATGGCTTTCTTGGCTTGGGCTTTGTCCTGTGGGTAAGAATAAAAAGGGAGAAATGTTAACACTGAGAAGGAAGTACCGTCTGGGCTTCCCTTACTATGTGCTTTCTCTACGAGGAGGCCAGTGAGAAAAATAGTGAAGAACGACCCAAAACTGCTGCTTAGAAACAGCAGTAGCTATTGGTCAGAATTCTTCTTTTTCAAGAAATTAAAAAAATTAAGAGTTTTGCTAGAATATCAGCTGTCATGGATTGAATTCTGTCCCCCAAAAATATCTGTCAGCTTGGCTGGGTCCTGATTCCCAGTACTGTATGATTGTGTACAATTTTATCATCTGGTGTGATTTCCCTATGTGTTGTAAATCCTATCACTATGATGTAATGAGATGGATTAGTGGCAGTTATACCGATGAGGTCTGCAAGATTGTATAGTGTCTTAAGCCAATCTCTTTTGAGATATAAAAGAGAGAAGCGAGCAGAGACACACGGGAACCTCATACCACCAAGAAAGCAGTGCCGGGAGCAGAGCGTGTCCTTTGGGCCTGAGGTTCCTGCGCTGAGATGCTCCCAGACCAAGGGAAGACCAATGCATCACGGGGACCTTTCTCCAGAGCCGACAGAGAGAGAAAGCCTTCTTCTGGAGCTGACGCCCTGAATTTGGACTTGTAAGCCTACTAGACTGTGAGAGAATAAATTTCTCTTTGTTAAAAGCCGTCCACTTGTGGTATTTCTGTTATAGCAGCACTAGATGACTAAGACATCAGGAAAGCAGAGAGGCTATTGGGGCAGTTTTACGGATTTGTCTGGGAGAAAGGACTGCACCAAGGAAGAGTACTGACCAGCAAATCCAAGCTGTTTATATGGGTCTGTATGTTGTGTGCATCTTCAGCAGGAACCCCCCTGAAGTGCTTCAGTTTCGAACTTCCTGTCTCCCTTATGACCATGGCAAATGGAACCATCCACTTGACACACCTCTCTATGTCACACCACTGGTACCCTGAAATGAAAATACATTTCAGGCTCAATCTGCAGCTGACAAGCGGTTGGCAAGTTCCACATGCCTGAAAGCCAACCTACCTGAAACCTTTTGCATCAGTTCAGACGACGAGAAATGGTACAAGGCAGAAGCAGCGAGCACGCCGTAAGAAAATTCTAAGCAGCCAGCGTCCAGGACACAGAGATCTAAAAGCTGTGGAGAAGCCAAGAGCGATGAAACGGACTGCCAGCACTATGCCTTCCGGAGTTACCGGTCTGGCTGTTGGGCAGGGAACCCCAGCACAGTAACGTAGCCGCTCACCTCTGCAATCTGTATGAAGATTTGCTGGGGATACTGGGGCAACAGCACTTCGTAAAAGTCCTTTAGGTATGCAACTTGCATGTACACATTCAGCCAGGACACAACTGTCAGGGGACTTAAACGCCACTTTAGGGCCTAAAGGATAACAAAGAAAAGAGCCCAGTGGTTGAGAAAAGAGAAAAAAACCCAGCCAGACATTTCTGCTCCCCACTGGGAGACTGCACTCCCTCAGTTCTCTGAAGGAGTTCAAACACAGCCGTGTTCTGTGACACCAGTGTCCAGCTGGAGAACACCTAGCCAGTTACAGTGGAAAAGCTCCTAGATATGCATTTACAAAGCGCTGAAAAATCGCCTTGTAACCTACCTTCATAATGCCTAACTCCATGTTGAGAATGTCATCTCCGGTACAGGCCCCGTCTGTAACGTATGCAAACTGGTGCAGCTTGGGAGGGTAGATTTCCTGAAAGGGAAGAAAAAGACACCAGTGGCAAAAAGTCAGTCCCTGATGGGGTTAACTTATCTAGAATCTTCTTTTGTACCCGGGCATGGAGAGAAAGAAAAGAGGGTATACTGATGGAATAAATGCAGGAGCCGCTCCAGAGGTCAAAAATGTGTTAACTGTGAAAGAAATGAAACCCTCAATCCTGTTAAAAAACATCAAAAAAAAAAAAAAAACACCAACCTGAACTTTGTTTCATTTACTCACTGGGGCTATTTCTGGAAATTTTATCCCTTCAGTGGTTTTACCAACATGTCTGAAAGCCAGGCCCATACACCTTCTATAATCACACCAACATTTGAATCCTCTTAAACAACTAATGCCCGAACAACATCCACAGCCCAAATGTAAGTCTCCACAGCGTGGAGTCCGTATTCTAAGTAATATCCCTGTTCAGAAGCTCAAAGTTCAATTTTTTGCTTAAAGTCACTACACTAACTTCAGCATTTTATACATTCACTACTTCTCTCTTCTTGGTTAGTTTCTAGCCTTTTTTGCACGTATCAACTTTAAAGGGCCTCAAATTAGAAAACTTTAGGATATACACTATAGACAAATAGTCAACCTTTTCCCCTAATCGCAACAGAAGCCAAGAAATGGCATGTGTCTATAAAAAGTATTTAAAAATGACCCACCTCAAGTTTGGCAGCAATAAATAAAGATGAAATCCCAATAAGCTGTAGAAGCGTTTTTACAACATTTTGTTGGGTTGCCATATACCGATCAAAGAAATCTTGTGCCAGGTAAAATGTCTCCCTGTGAAGTTTATATACTTCACACACCTGAAAAAGGTATTTAGTAAGGTTTAGAACAGTTACTTGGGGAGGGGGGCCTTGTCATGAGTTCTGGTGAAGGACAATATAACCACATCAAGAGAAACCACTTTGCTTTTCTGAAAGGATGGTTACCTTGTCTGCCCCTAATTGGAACTCAGATCTATGGACGGAGTGTTCTGTGCTCCACAGGGCTGGGGAAGGAAGCTACGTTCACAGGCAGCATGTTCACGGAGAAACAAATTATGAATTCTCTCGGAGAATGGCCTCCCTCTTTACAAGTTTCATCGTGACTCAAGGAAAGAACTAGTGTATCTCCTCACGACTGGGCAATTTTAGGAAGAAAGTTTAAAAGCTGGAACACACGCTTAAAGACCACAACATGTCCACAACTCTGTAAATCACAGGAGGCAAGAACTGTTTCAAAGAGCATCGAGGAGGCCCAGAGACCCAGTTCCAGTCTAGGTTGTAGCCTTGGGCAAAGCCTCTTACCTCCGCGATCTCAAATGATAAAACCAGGGCAAAGCTGCCTTGCCTGCCTCACAGGACCGCTGTGAGGACCTGGTGAAACAGCGGAGAAGGATCCAGAGAATATCAGACCTCTCGCCTCATCACACCAAACATCTGATCACGGAGTCACCTAACACTATACGTCAATGCTGCCGTGACTAAACAGGACACCTTAAATGCGTGCAATTCCGGGGATTAATAATAGAAAAAGAGCTGGAGAAACAATGCACAGAATATTAATCAGAAAATCCCATCAATTCCCAAAGACTATTTCTGAAGTGTGGGCTAAGCCGTATTATATTTAGCCTCAGTTTTTATAAAGGAGTACAGCTACAACCTGACTAGAAATGAAACTCAAACCTCTCTGAGGACCTCTCAGACCTATTTCCCCAGCCCACCATTTGGCACACTGCGTGAACACCGCCCCGATCTCATGCAGACTTCGCAGCGGGGCTAGGGGCTGAGAAACGCGACCTCAGCACCAACAAGCACGCCTGTGAATCCTGGACTCTGGGCTTGTCCCACTAAAGACATAAAGGCAACCATCCTTTTTGATCCTCTCAATGGTATTACATGACTTTTCTGATTGCCTTCACGAAAAAAACCTTCCTTCAAAGCATAATGGCATCAATTGCATTATATAAAATAGAACCTTGCAGTCTGATTATAAGAATGAACTGAAGCCCGAGAGATGAAAACATATTACAGCTAATGCTTCAAGAAACCATGCAAGTTGCAAAGGGCACAGAAGGGCTATATAGCGCAGGGTGAGGCCGTAGTAGGCTACTGCGGGGTCTGTCATTTAAAAGCAGGCCTGCAAAGCGTGCAGTACAGAGAATGTCAGCATTCTCAGGGGGCAATGAGGAAAAGCCAACTGTGTAAGTGACATTTTGAAGACACCGTTTCCAATTCTAACAAAGTCAGCAAGGAAAATATTGCTAAAAATATTACAGATGAGAAAACTAAGACTCAGCGTTAAATAACTTCCCTGACTAGGGGCACAGAGATGGTTAGTGGCAGTGGGGAATTTGATTCTAGGACTAGCAAAACTAGGGTACACATGTTGTCATATGCCATCAAGTTGATTCCGACTCATAGTGACCCTAAATGACAGAGCAGAACTGCTCCATAGGGATTCCTAGGCTGTAATCTTTATGGGAGCAGATCGCCAGGTCTTTTCTCCCATGGAGCGGCTGGTGGGTTCCAACCACCAACTTTTCAGTTAGCAGCCGAGCGCTTAACCTTTGCACCCCGGGAATACAGGCTTTCCAAAGGGTACCCAGCACAGTGTTTAGGGAATATTTAGATTCTCAACTTTCATACGTCCTCCTCCGTGAAAAGGATCTGCCTGAGATGCTCTTCTTCCACTTCACAGAGGAAAAGCCCACCTCTCACCAACCCCACGTCTTACAATGGTGTCCAGAAGCCTTCCTTAATCAAGGCACTATAAGCCATCCATGGTTCATTCCAGACAGAGGGGCACTGCCAATAAAATTTTATTTCTTATGTTTAACAATTATCCATCAAAATTAGTATTATTTATTATTTTGATCAATTGTTGCAGAGAAGTGTAAGGTAACCAACAAAAGATGTAAACAATGTATTTTGTTAGGATAAAATTCTACAGGGAAAGGGGAATGGACTTCATGGAGTAAAAAGGAACAATGTATAATTTCTGGCTGTTAAAGACACGTTCATACAGTCTTAAAATTTATGACACTGGCTATCAAGTAGCTGATATTTGCACTCCATTGGATACAATCAAAACTAATTTAATTAGTAAAGATTAATCATCAGATTTACAATATGCTGAGAAATACAACCTCTGCAACTATTTAAACTTTGATGAAAACAGATTAACGTCAACTTGGAGTCAGAATCGACTCAATGGCACCCAACAACAACAAAATTATCTAAGGAGTAAAAAGATTTTAGAAATTTGTTTAAGGAAGTATGCAAGCAAAAAAATTGGAAGATCACTTCAGTATGCCACAGCTTCAAAACCACTGAATGGAATCAAACACTCAGAGATCGTAACAGTGCAGAGGAGTCTAGAAACGGTCGATGCGTCCAGTTAATGGGTAGACTCAGCTCACCTCCATTAACCAATCCAGGAGAATTAGTTACTGCGTAGACTCAGCTCACCTCCATTAACCAATCCAGGAGAATTGCTCGCATCTTCGGCTGCAGAAGAGGGTGCCGCTGCATGAAGTGCTTATCCCTCAGGTACGTCTTTTCTTTGTTCAGCATGATCTTCCACACCTCCTCCCTATTCGCCCAGCTACGGAACATAAACAAGTATCAGAAGGACCCATTCTACCCGGGAACAAGTGACGACGTGGAGCTGAAGATCTGGGAGCCACGCGGACAGAAAGCACTTACTTCAGAACAGGCAGCGGTGAGGCTCTAGACGGTGCGAAACTCGGAGGTTCACAGGCAGCATGTGGGTATGCCAGCTCACCCTCCTCTTTGTCAGGGGTGGGAATCAGGGAGCAGGGGTTTTCACAGGCTGCACCGCTGTCCCAAGTCTGTGAAGGAAAAACACATTTTGTTTTTGGTGTCTGATGGACAACGGCTATTTTTACATTCACTGATTTGTAGATCAGCCAGTGTTTAAAAAAAAAAGCATCACTCTGGAGAATAATCTCCAGGCCTAAATTAAGATGGAGGTGGGTAAGTAAAAGCCACGGCAATGATGCCAAGCATTTATTTCATTTCTTTCATCAGCTTAAGCGTCTACACAGTAAATACCTAAGAATATCCTCCACATTACCACCCTTATATGAGGTACTTGACCAACAAAACAAACAGGAGGGGTAAGATGAAATGCCAATAGCCCTTATATTTTTTAAAAAAGGGAGACAAATCCATTTACAGTTCAGTAAAATACTAGGCATGACTTCTGTAAGTGCTGAGAAAAAAGATATATCATGGGACAATAGCAAAAAGATGGAAACCACCTCGGTGCCCATTAACGGACGAATGGGTAAACAAATGCTGGTCTATTCACACAATGGAATACTACGCAACGATACAGAACGATGATGAAGCCGGGAAGCATCTTATAACGTGGAGGAATCTGGAAGGTATTATGCTGAGTGAATTCAGTCAGTCGCAAAAGGACAAATGTTGTATATAAGACCACTATTATAAGAACTCAAGAAAAGGATTAAACACAGAAGAAAACATTCTTTGCTGGTTACGGGGGTGGGGAGGGAGGCAGGGGGTATTCACCTAACTAGATAGTAGACAAGAATTATCTTAGGTGAAGGGAAGGAGAGCACACACTACAGGGGAAGTCAGCACAACTGGACTAAACCAAAGCTAAGAAGTTTCCTGAATACAAGCAAACACTTCGAGGGACAGAGTAGCGGGGGCGGGGGTCTGGGGACCATGGTTTCAGGGGACATCTAGGTCAACTGGCATAACAAAGCTTATTAAGAAAATGTTCTGCATCCTACTTTGGTGAGTGGTGTCTGGGGTCTTAAAAGCTAGCGAGCGGCCTTCTAAGATGCATCACTTGGTCCCAACCCACCTGGAGCAAAGGAGAATGAAGAATACCAAAAACACAAGGAAAATATTAGCCCAAGAGACAGAAAGGGCCACATAAACCAGAGATGTCATCAGCCTGAGACCAGAAGAACTAGATGGTGCCTGGCTACCACCAATGACCGCCCTGACAGGGAATGCAATAGAGTCCCTGGCGGAGCAGGAGAAAAGTGGGGTGCAGAACTCAAATGCTAGTAAAAAGACCAGACTTAATGGTTTGATTGAGACTGGAGAGACCCTGGAAGACAGGGCCCCCAGATTCTCTATCAGCCCAGAACTAAAGCCATTCCCGAGGCCAACACTTCAGACAAAGATTAGACTGGACTGTGGGACATAAAATGATACTCTTGAAGAGCGTGCTTCTTAGCTCAAGGAGATGCATGAGACTAAATGGGCAGCTCCTGCCCAGAGGCAAGATGAAAATTCAGAGAGGGTCAGGAGCTGGTTGAAAGGACACGGGAAATCCGGGGTCGAAAGGAGGAATGTGCTGTCACAGTATAGGGACAGCAATTAGGGTCACATAACAACGTGTCTATAAATTTTTGTATGAAAGACTAACTTGAATTGGAAACTTTCACTTAAAGCACAATAAAAAAATTTTAAAAAAAAAGACATATTGTAGGATTGTTGTTGTTAGTTGTTACTGAGTCGATTCCAACTCATGGCAATCCCATGAGTGCAGAGTAGAACCGTGCTCCACAGGGTTTTCAAGGCTGTGACCTTCCAGAAGCAGATCGCCAGGCCTGTCTTCTGAGGCACCTCTGGCTGTTAAAGATACGCTTGTTCATATATTCTTAAAATTTATGATCGTGGCTATCAAGTAGCTGATGTTTGCACTCCATTAGATACGTTTAAAAGTAATTTAATTAGCAAAGATCAATGATCAATATTTACAATCATCTGGGAAATATAATCTTTGCAACTATTTAAACTATGGTGAAAAAAGATGAATTAGGTTCGAACCACCAACCTTTCAGCTAGCACTGGGACGGCTTAGCCATTCGCACCGTCCAGGCACAGACCTGCTAAGGGATCCCTTGGTCACAATTCAAAGATTTGGTTAAGCATAACTAATCTGCTAAACTTTCTTAAAAGTGCAAGATGGAAAACTATAACAGCTCAAACACATAAAGTGACTGCCATCCTTCTTAAACTCCTCCATCTTGGAACAAGAATACACCAAATGTGGCATCTTCCCTTAGTTACAGGAAGAGCCAAATATACTACACACAGTGGAGATACTTCTATTTTCCTTAATTTGAAACAAAAAAAGAATATCTGCCTAGTTAAAACCAAATCAGGCAATGATCCCAGGTTATACTAAGAAGTCCGTGGAGATAGAGCTTAGATACTGATGGTTATTAAAAAAATTGGGACATGGTAAAAATAGATCAAAGAAAACAACTTGGGTGCAAACTGAAATTTTTGTCCAGTTTTCCACACTTATTTGTTTCTGTGGCAAAATCCTAAAGACATCTGAAACTAAAGCCTTGTACAAAGTAACATGCAAATATCTGCTAAATCAATGAATCATCATTAAAAACCAAGCCAATATGCTTTTCTTTTAAAGTTTTCAAATACTTAATTTTATTCAATTCTCAATGTTTTGAAAAGACTAAGGTCATTTCACCATTTGGAAAATTTTCTTTTTAAAGCTACCTTTAAGCTACTCTGCTGAACTTTATACCATAAAAACAAGCCTACGTTTAATTTTTAAAATTATAAAACAATGATTTTGTTGAAGGTATGGCAGGAAACAATCTTGCCAGCAATGAAAGCCTCATGGAAGTTGGAGACTCTTGGCCTTTTTTTTTTTTTTAACGCAGAAAGACCATTAACGTTGACTAGAGAAAACCCAGACACCTGAGGACTATAGATGAACACGACGACTTGGGCCCTACACGTGGCCTGGAAGATAAGGTAGACAGTAGCCATCACAGCATGCTGGCCTCCTCTGAGGAAGCCCAAGCACTGTCCGTCTCCTGAGAAAGGCAAGGCACAAGAGAGCCTCATCCACCCAGTGTGCCAAGAAGCGGGTATGCAAACCATCCATCCCAGCTCCTGCCCACAACTGTGCAAAAAAGGCACCTTCCTCTCCTCCAGCTTTGACACCGCGTGCTGGCGGCACTTCCTTAACTCAGAAAGGATCACATTACAACTGCATTTAAATTCACTTTGCTCTTCATTCAAGAAGACTGATTCCTAGTTTTGAAGGCAGAAGCTCCGTGCCACCCTCTCAGCCAGATGTCTGGCACAGCTGAGAGCAGGCCTTTGGAGGGAAACTGGCAACATTTCCGAACCTGCAGTTCATAAACAAATGAGATGAACCACAAGCAGACAAACGGTTCCCAAAGCTGGCCTTTTTAAGATGAAGCAGAGTAATGAAGTCCAAGTCCTTAGCTTGAAGTATACACCAAGCTTCAACAGGAGAAAGATCAGCCTGAGTTTAGGAAAGAAAGGGAGAAGAACAAGCGGCCAACTGTGATGATTCCTAACCACCCCTGATGTCTTACACCACAACTCACCAAGGAGAGAACTACCTTACACAAAATTATCTTCTGAGAATTAACAGAGTCCCAGATTCTGCTCCAAAACTAACGCTGGGTCACATGCAAAAAATTAAACAAAATGAGTATGTTAAATGGACTTTCGATGTTGTTGTTAGTTGCTATCAAGTTGATTTCAAAGCATAGCAACTGCACGTGACAGAGTAGAACTGTCCTACAGGGTTTTTCTTGGCTGTAATCTTTATAGAAGTAGACCACCAGGTCTTTCTCCTGCAAAGCTGCTGGGTGGGTTCGAACCGTCAACCCTTCAGTTTGCAGCTGAGTGTTTAACTGTTTGAGCCAGCAGAGCTCCTTGGACTTTAGATAAAAGGTACTTTTTCACTCTGGAAGGCCGAAGAGAAGAATCAGCGTTTCTGTGCGGTCTTGATGAAGCAGTTACACCGAGTATGACAGCTCCGAGTAACTTTGGTTGTTGTCCTGGGCGACACCAGTACAGAATGCTATAGTACACTCATGATTGGCCTGCTGAAATAACTCCTCAGACAAATTCTGTGTGATCAATAGTTGAAAAGGTTCTGCTGTGTCCCTAAATTCTAGCTTCATGAATCTACACAGAAGTGACAAAGACATTGTTCCACAGTAGATGGATAAATTTCAGGCTATCTAATCTACAAACACATAGAAACCTGTTCTCATTAGTCTCTGGACAACCATGAAAATGCCTTCTAGTGGGAAATAATATGGCTATTCACGTATCGCAGCTATCAATGGTCCACAGTGCCAGGATAGGGCCCTGCCTTAGGCACCCTCGGAACTGCTCAGGTTATCCTGGAGACCGGAAAATATTAAAAACACCAAGAAGTCAACGTGGATGGCTTTGCTGTATCTTCAGTTGCAAAGTGCCTTTCGATTTGAAACACAGCTAGGGAAATAAACGATGTTGAACTTCAGAAGTAGCGTTCGTTTTATAACACCTCCAAAATCCACTTGCTGGATGAGAAGTTCTTCTCTTTAGGGGCACAAAAGGGGAAGAAAGAACTTAGGATGTGCTGTCCATTCCCTTTCCTGAACTATTTCTCCTAACAGAGAAAGAAACCCTCAACCCTTGTTCAATATTCAGTGGATCCTCCCCAGAAATGCATAATACTAAGCTCTTATGTGCAGTGACAACTGCCACTGCAAGCCACGCGGCCCTTCAGCTCTGAAGCCCCTCACTCTTCCAGACCAGCTGCCATGGCTACCGCTCACTGCCCTAGCCCAGCCGGGACCACGGCACTCGGCTGGAAAACCACCCCTGCGCAGCTTTTCTCTGCGATAGCCTCAGAAGCCTGCCCAGCTAGTTTGGAAACAGACTGCTTCCCCTACTTGCGCCGTAACTATAGTCCCAGCCATTTCTAGAGGTAGAGATAATGCAAGCTGGTGCTGCAAGGAACTTCTGATATTGTAATGGCAGTGCCCCATATGCGGGAAATTTAAAGGAGGGACAAGTGAAATGGACTAGTCAATGAGAAATGTGCTGAGACATACATGTCATTACACAGAATGTGATCAGGATAAGCTCTGTCACCACAGTTAACTGCTGGATGGGCTGGAAGAATCTACAAAGCCAGAATAGGGTGAAGGTTGGAAACGAGCTAAGCAGGGGGTGGGGGCGGGGCAGCTCCCCTGTGACAAAACAATCTTAGTGTGGGGGGAAGGCATTGCTTACAAACACACACAAGCACCCATCATCAAAGTTACTGAAGAGCTCTGTGTCCAGAAACTTCCCTCCTTCATGAGCCTTCAGAGACAAGGCTGCGGGCCTGACTCTGCCAAGCGGCTTGCATACAACCCTGGGTTACTGTCTTCCTCTAACCAGGGCTCAGTTTCGTCACTGGTAAAAGGAGAAAAAAACCGAAAAAAACAAAAAATCCAAGCCAGTTGCTCTGGAGTCACTTCTGACTCACGGTGACCCCATGTGTGTAGAGTAGAACTCCTCCATAGTGTTCTTAAGGTTGTGACCTTTCAGAAGCAGATTACCAGGCCTTTCTTCCAAGGCGCCTCTAGGTGGGTTCGTACTGTCACCCTTTTAGTTAGTTTGTGCCACCCAGGACTCCTGGGTAATAGGAAAGGACTGAGTTATTTGACATCCACTCTGGTTCTTCCAGACGGCACATATCTATAATCTCAGAGGGTGCTGGTCAGAAGCACAAGACCTGCCTGGAATCCCAAAGCTGGCAGAGGCCAGTGCCCACTGGCAAGCACAGAGCTCAGCTGTGTGGACGGTATGCAGTTAGAGAACAGACCTTCAGCAGGAGGCAGGAGAGTATAAACCCGATTTGACATAAAGAGTGGGAGGCCCTCCAGGTAGGCCAGACGGGCAAGCACATGTACCTGACTGCCACACTGGTTTCTCACAGTCCTCTCAATTTTGGCAATTTCTTCATCTGGATCCTGCAGAAACTAACACAGAACAACCCCCACACGGAGAAACACACCAAACACCCCACAGACAAAACACAGAGAGAGAGAGAGAGAGAAAACAAAGTTGATTAAGTTAGGAGCCCCATTTCTGCCAAAGGCATCCCCGACCAAGCCCCTTCTGACAAGCTTGCGGACAGAGCCCAGGCTGGCACCCAGGTAAGATGGGGGGCTCCTCCTCCACCTGACCCCTTTGTACTCACCACGGCCACATTGGCTTTCCTTTTCCTGGAGCGCGAAGAGAAATCGGTGCTGCCTTCCTCTTTCATGGTGCCCCGTTCCTTCGCATCCCTGCAAAACCGGGGTGGCACCAAGGCAGGGGTGAGCTGGCCCC